GTTTCTAATAGTGTGAGAGGGTGGTTATAGAAAATAAAAAAAATGAAAACAACTTAAAAAATAAAAAAACTACTTACCTGACGCCGACTGCCGTGGTCGTACTGCGGTCCCACCACGGTCGCGGTGGGTCAAAAGTTTGAGGCAGTGAACTAAGCATTCACCGAGGTCCTACCGCGGTCACGGTGGACTGCCTAGTTCTGAGGCAGAATTCGCGCCTCCCACCGCGATTCTACCACGGTCGCGGTGCTGACGCTTTTTTTTATATATAGGAAGTTACACAAGAACGCTAACAACACATTCATGGGGTGCCTCCCACGTAGCGCCTGATTTAACGTTGCGGCACGATGCAGACAAGCGCATTTAAGGCTCGCTCGACCTCTGAGGTTCCGTCAGGTGGATCTCAGACACTTCTTTTGGTCCTTTCATGCTTATGTATAGCTTCAATCTCTGCACATTGACTCTAAATGTGTGAGAATCTTTCTCCGAGGTAATCTCCACAACTTCTGAAGGGAAGACTTCGACCACTCGAAATGGACCAGACCATCGTGACTTAAGCTTACCAGGGAACAACCGTAATTTTGAGTTATTGAGCAATACCATGTCCCTGGGTTTGAAATGCTGCTCAACAATGTTCTGGTCGTGCAACCTCTTCATTCTCTCATTGTACAACCTTGTGCTCTCAAAAGCAAGATGTTTGAACTCGTCGAGCTCATGCAATTCAGTGATTCTTGTTGTACCCGCAGCTTTAATGTCTAGGTTCAGTTGTTTCAGTGCCCACCAAGCTTTATGTTCAAGTTCTACTAGCAAGTGGCAAGCCTTCCAAAACACCAACTTATATGGTGACATACCAATTGGTGTTTTAAAAGCAGTTCTATAAGCCTAGAGTGCATCATCTAGCTTTTTCGCCCAATCAGTTCTTGTGACATTCACAGTCTTGGTTAGCACACTCTTTATCTCTCTGTTGGACACTTCAACATGCCCACTAGTCTGGGAATGATATGGGGTAGCCACCTTGTGGCGTACATCATACTTTGCTAGCAACTTCTCAAAGGCTCTATTACAGAAGTGGGTGCCTCCGTCATTGATAATCGCTCTTGGTGTCCCAAAGCAGGTGAATATATTCTTCTTCAAAAATCCCACCACCACTCTTGCATCATTAGTGGGCAACGCTGCAGCTTCTACCCATTTGGACACGTAATCCACAGCAACAAGTATGTACTTATTGCCAAAGGAGCTGACGAAGGGTCCCATGAAGTCAATCCCCCAGACATCAAACACTTCCACCTCTTGAGTCGGGTTTATGGGCAACTCATGGCGACGGGAAATGTTCCCAGTCCGCTGAAATTCATTGCAGCCCTTCACCCATTGGTGCGCATCTTTAAACACTGTTGGCCAAAATAAGCGGGCCTCTAGCACTTTCGCAGCTGTCCTGACTCCTCCAAAATGCCCTCCATACGCTGATGCATGACATGCCTGCAAAACAGAAGATTGTTCTATCTCGGGGACGCACCTCCGGATCATATTGTCAACACATATTTGAAACAGGTAAGGTTCATCCCAATAATACATGCGGCAGTCACGATAAACTTTTTCTTTTGTACAGAGGAAAGGTCATAGGGAACTATACCGCTGGCCAGGTAATTTGCAAAGTCTGCATACCATGACACTTCCTCAAGACTAGTAGCGAGCAGCTGCTCATTTGGTAAGGTTTCCAGAATATCCTCAACCTCAATTGAGTTTTCAGCTCCCTCAAGCCGTGATAGATGATCAACAACTTGGTTTTCTGTGCCCTTACGATCACGAATTTCGAGATCGAATTCTTGAAGTAGCAACACCCAACGAATCAGGCGTGGCTTAGACTCCTTCTTCTCAATCAAGTACCTGAGAGCTGCATGATCAGTGTATACAATTACCTTAAAGCCAATTAGGTATGATCTGAACTTGTCGAAAGCGCAAACACCACAACCAACATCTCCTTCTTAGTCACAGTGTAGTTCAGTTGGGCTCCACTCAGCATTCTACTAGCATAGTAGATTGGATGTATTAGCTTGTCTTTCCGCTATCCCAGCACTGCCGCCACTGCGTAGTCACTAGTGTCATACATGAGTTCGAAAGGTTGCTCCCAGTCGGGGGAACAATGATAGGTGTTGTGACTAGCCTCTTCTTCAGCTCCTCGAATGCTACCCTGCAATCATCAGGAAACAAGAAGGGGTGATCTTTTTCTAGCAACTTACAGAGAGGGTTGGCAATTTTTGAGAAGTCTCTTATGAATCTCCGGTAGAAATCGGCATGCCCGAGGAAGATCCTGATTGCTTTGACTGAAGTTGGAGGGGGCAGTTTTGCTATCACATCCACTTTAGCACGATCCACCTCAATTCCTTTGCTTGACACCCGGTGCCCCAAGACTATGCCCTCTTGTACCATGAAATGGCACTTCTCCCAATTAAGAACCAGGTTAGTCTCAATACACCGTTTCAGCACACTCGTCAGATTTATTAGGCACTCATCGAATGAATTTCCCACCACTGAGAAATCATCCATGAATACCTCCATTATGTTTTCTACCATGTCAGTGAATATGGCCATCATGCACCTTTGAAATGTGGCGGGTGCATTGCATAGGCCAAATGGCATCCTCCGAAAGGCATAAATGCCATATGGGCAAGTGAAAAAAGTCTTTTCTCTATCCTCAGGTGCAATGGAGATCTGATTGTAACCTGAGTACCCATCCAGAAAACAGAAGTGTTACCTCCCTGCCAGTCTGTCTAGCATCTGATCAATGAAGGGAAGTGGGAAGTGGTCCTTCCGGGTGGCCAGATTTAACTTTCTGTAGTCCATGCAAAATCTCCAGCCCATGACGATTCTCGTCGAGATCAATTCATTGTTATCATTTTTGACTACTGTCATGCCACACTTTTTAGGCACACATTGAACCGGGCTAACCCAACTGCTGTTAGATATTGGGAAAATGATTCCCGCATCTAACCACTTTATCACTTCTTTCTTTACCACTTCCTTTATGTTGGAGTTCATCCTTCTTTGGTGTTTCCTGGAAGGTTTGTGGCCCTCTTCCAGCAGAATTTTATACATACTGTAGGCGGGGCTGATCCCCTTTATGTCTTCCATGGTTCGCCCAATGGCAGTCTTACACTCCTTGAGTACCTGCAAGAGTTGTTATGCCTGCACATCTAACAAACTAGATGAGATAATAATAGGTAATGTGGAGTCAGGTCCAAGGAACTCATACCTGAGATGGGCGGGCAGTGGCTTCAACTCCAGCTTTGGGGGTTCTTCCATGGATGGCTTGGCTGGAGGAGTTTCTCTATTTTCTAAGTGCAAGGGCTCAAATTCAAGAGTTTTGTCCCAGAACCCTCTGCCCTCTAGTACCAACACCCATTCTGTCAGTTCTTCTCCATTCACCTCATCTAAATTCATCAGGCATACAGCAAGAGGGTCCTCAATAGTCAACATCGAATCATCAGTTTCGACAATTACATCCACGACATCAATAAGAGAGCAATTGACGAATTCACTTGGTCGCCTGGATTTCTGCACATTGAATGTTATCTCTTCGTCGTTCAATCTCATATTGAGCTCCCAGTTTCACAATTAATGAGAGCTTTCCCAGTGGCCAAGAACGACCTTCCCAAAATTATGGGAATTTCTTCATCTACCTTGCAATCCAAGATCACAAAATCTGCAGGGAACGCAAATTTCCCCACCTGAATCAACACATCATCCAGGATATCAGAGGGTCTTTTTACAGTCCTATCAGCCAGCTGCAATAGCATAGAGGTGGGTCTAGCTCTTTCAATCCCCAGCCTCTTATAAATCGTCAGGGGCATAAGATTAATGCTAGCCCCTAAATCACAAAGTGCCTTAGCAAAAGCAAAATTACCAATAGTGCAGGGAATTGTAAAGCTCCCTGGGTCAGATAGCTTCTCCGCAATTAGTCTAGTTACCACTGCACTGCAGGTCTGAGTAAGAGTCACCGTGTCCAGGTCTTGGAAAGCGAATTTTCTAGACATTAAGTCCTTCATCATTTTTGCATACCCAGACATCTCTTTCAAAGCATCTATCAATGAAATATTTACCTTGATTTGTTTCAGCATCTCCAAGAATTTCTTGTGATGTTCCTCTTTTTGGTGCTTAGCCAACCTCTAAGGGAATGGTGCAGGAGGTCTCTTCTTCCCAATGATTTGGGACTGCTCTTTATCAGCTGCCACCTCAACTACTTGTTCCTGGGCTATCTCAGCTTCTTTCTCAGTCTCAATCTGAATGTTGTGTTCTTCCTGAGCAGGCTGGACTGTTACCTATGTCAGTTTCGTTGACTCATCTAGCTCAATGGGCACTGGTATGAGAGTCTCAGCCTGTCTGCTCTCTCGAGCCCTTTCTTGCTCTACGTCTAAATCTCTGTCATTCCATAGACTCACTGCCATCAGCTGCTTCAGGCCTTGATCTTTGGGGTTTATTTGAGTGTCTGCAGGTAATGTCCCATGAGGACGATTGTTTAGAGACATTGAAATTTGGCCCATATGCACTTCAATATTCTTGATAGCTGAATCATGTGCATCTACTCTCTCACTAATTTTTGCATTAGACCCAATAACCTGCTACATCATTGCCTCAAGTCTAGTAAACCCATCTTCCTGTCATCCACCATGCTGCTGCTGAAGAGGGTGATACCCCTGCTACTGATTCTGATTGTTATATCCATGTGGCCTTAGGTAAGGTGCCATATTGTTAGGAGGTCTCATACCTCTCGTGTTCCTATTGTTGAACTGTGGCTAGACTGGCCTGTACATCTGATTTTGCTGGCCCCAATTCTGACCACCCTGTCTCTGGCCTCCATAATTAGACACATAGTTCATGTCTTCAAGGTAGTGATGATGATCATGTTCTGCATTCCACTGGTTACCAATTGGCTGACTAATGCAAGATGTGCACAAGCCCTTATTGGTAGTATCTACGATGTATACCTGCTGCTTCTGCTCTGACTCTTCCACCTTTTTAGTGAGTATACTCATCTGTGTCAATAAGGTGGCCATATTTTCAGCCATAGAGTTGGATGGATCTAAGGGCACTGAGTGAACCATTGGAGTGATAGATGCATTCCTGGTTGTCCATCCCGAATTCTGCACCATCTTATCAAGCAGACTCTGGCCTTCTCTCCATGTTTTGCTCAAAAATGCTCCACCAACTGAAGCATCAACAATGTTCTTCATGCTATCTGACAATCCCATGTAAAATCGCTGCCCCAACATCAGATCTGGAATACCATGGTGCGGACATATAACCAACATCCCTTTGAAACGTTCCCATGTTTCATGCAGTGTCTCCATTGGTCTCTGTTTAAAACTCAAATTTCATCAATTTGTTGAGCAGTCTTGTTGGGTGGGTGGAACTTGTTATGGAATTACTTGACTAACTCCTCCCAAGTTGTTATGGAATTTATGGGAAGTGAGTTTAGCCAGGTCTGGGCAGCTTCTGTCACTGAGAATGGAAACAATAACAGCTTGATTGCTTCCGGAGTTACGTTGGGCTGCCTTTGGATTTTGCATATTGACAGGAAATTCTACAAGTGTTGTTGAGGATCTTCGACTTGTGACCCCGAAAATAGTCCCTTGTTTTGCAACAAGTGCATCATGTTATTCGTGATTTAGAATGATTTAGCCTGTATTTGTGGGACTACAATTGTTGTGGCCAAATTTTCAGCTGTGGGTTGTGCCCAGTCATAGAGAGTAGCCTCTGGCATGAGAGGTGCCACATGTGCTATTGGCGCTGCTGGGTCTACCACATTGTCCCCCATGTCTGGTTCGATTTGTTCAGTTGTTTGCTTTTCCGGTTGGCCCGATTCAAGGCCTTGAAAACTTTCTCGGGATTCTATAATGCTTCAAATACTTCACCAGTTCTCGATGAGTTTCTAGGCATGCACCTGTACAACCAAGTCAACAAACGTTAAAATTTCAATGTAAAAATTGGGTATAGAGAAAACTGACTACACTAAGAATTTTTGTACTTGTTTCAATTGTAATTGATAACACCGTTAAATCCCCGACAACGACGCCAAAATTTGATCACGCCCAACTATGCCTTATAAAAAAGACACGCGGACGTTGCAAATATAACCTGAGTATTTAGCCCAGAGTCGAACCCACAAGGAATTAACCTATCAATTACTTTCGTTGGATTTACTAAATTCTCCGAAATCAACTTCCCAAATGTTGTCAATAACAATTGATGGTATTTCTACTAACTAAGAATGAAAGTAAATAAGCAACTGAAAACTAACCATGATTAAGTTGTAAACAACTAAGAGAAGGTTCTAAGATTATGATTTCCTCTATTGATGGAATCCCTTCCGGTTATGTTTCATGTTGTAAGCACGTGATTTTTGACCCTCCCCGAGAATTTTCACATTTTTAGCATGAATATGTGAAATTGGGTCTAGTATAGCTATTTTAACTATTTTTACTTTATTTCGTTGCAAAAAAGAAAAAATTTCAAAAAATATATATATAAATTTTAGTTTATGTATCTCTCATAAACTTGAAAAATACAAAAATTGCACTTTATTTTTGTACTTTATATAATTTCGAAAATTACAAAAAAATAAATAAAATATAGTTCTATTAAGGTTTTATAGTCATTTTAACTTTGAAAAATACAAAAATATTACCTCATATTTTATCTTAATATTTAAAACGAAAATTACAAAAAAATAGTTTCATTAATATTTTGTAGCTATTTTAAATCTTGAAAAAATATTTAAAAAGATATAGTTTTGTTTAAATACTAGTCTTATTTTTGGTAGTTATTTTGCTTACATAGGACTAGTTAAGCAACGTGTTCCTATTTCTCGGGTCCGGGCAAAAGAATAATATTCAGGTTCAAACTACCCGGTTTTAGGCCTAATTTTCGGACCTAGCCCATAATAAACCGTGTTCAGGACACGTGGGGAACCCCACCACGCGTGGAGGACATATGCCTTGAACCCCACCACGCGTGGGCTCATTTTTCTGGGCAAACCCATGCTAAATACACGGACAAAAGCATTTTGAAAAGAGAGGACTTTGGAATTTTTTGGATACTACTGTTCACCTTTCTTCTTCTTCTTCAAAAGAAGAAGAAGCAAACCCTACGGAAAAAAAAAACCAAACAGGCCCATCGACCTACTATCACAAACGAAACACCCTCCTCCTCCCAGCTCCACCATCATCAACGACCCACCATCACCTTCCCCTCGTCGACCACCGGCGTGCACTACCAAGCTCCAAACCCTCCCGTAAAACCACCCACGAAACCAGTGAAACCACCAGCTCCATCGCTCACCTCCACTGTCCGAACGCCACCCCACGTCAAAAGGAGCAGTCGACAAAA